TCCCAAAACCCCCACCCCCCCCCCCCCCCAAAAGAGAGCTCAAATATAGTGCTAAATCTATCCTTATGCTATATATAGAGCTATAATATATAATATTAAAGACAACAAGAGCATTTGCTGCTAAACCAAAATCAGCTTAAATTAACGGTCTATTTTGTTAATCAAACCTGGCAGTAGTACTCTATTTTACTGCATCTAAAGCGTGATTGGAAGTTGTTTATAGATAGATATAAATGACCAATGGATAAATGGTTAGTACTTAGTACTTGTCTATTTTCAGATTGTGTGGATGAAAAATTATTTGGCCAATTATAAACAGTTCATAAACGACTCCAAATTTCTTGAGGTTTTATCTAATGTGGTGTACCAACATGCTGTAATATACAAAATTTAAGCCAAAATCCAAATTGAACTGCGTGCAAGTATATGCAAAGACTATGCAAAATGTTTAACAAGCAATTAAGAATATTTCATGTATAAAACAAATAAAAATTGTTAGGCAAATCAACAAGAAGACCAAGCCCTCGTGAAGACAGCTTTACATTTGATATATACTATGAAGAAGCACGTGAAATTGTGCTGATACAACATTCAGGTGGATACGGATACCCATATATAGTATCTTTAAAGAAACTGAATTCATCACCAAAAGTTAATCTGTAGTTTGAAACGGTTAAAGAACTAATCATAAGCCTAAACTCAATCTCTTTTACCTTAATAATATATTTTAGTCGACAGCATATTAGCATTCAAATTCAAAGGCTGTTACCAGATATCTACATTAACACAATTTAAGGTAAGATCAGCAGCTTTTTTCTGCATAAAATAATCTAACTTTGAGTTATGTTTTAAAAGTTAATAGTGATTTACAGATTAAGTTGAGTAAACATTTGTGCTTTGCACACTCTTGAAGTACAGTTTATACTCATTAATTAATAGAATAAAGATCATAAAGAACGCCACGCAAAGAGATAGGTAATGTTGAGAATTAAAAACCCTAATTTTATATCAACAAAGGCAATAAAATCACTAAAGAAAATGGACATAAAAACACGTAGGAATATTTATAGAGGTTCTATGATGAAAAAAGTTTACAAGATTTATAGAGCTCGATCCATATATTGATTATGTACAACACTAATAATTAGACTCCATAGCTTGAAATTTATTATCTCCTCTAGAGTGCTTTCAAATTTAAATACTAAGTCGTGTTGTTTAATCTATAACTCCGAATTTATTTTTCCTCTAAACTATACACATACACATATTTCATAAAGAGATAATGGTGATACTTGAACATGGAATTTATGTAAATCAGATACAATGATAAATCATTCCATCTAAAAGTTCAAATTATTCCAAAGTGACAAATTTATTTATTGTTTAATAACTTTTCCAACAAAAGAAGAAATTGGATGCCAAGCAGCAAATAAAGATGGCAGAAACAGTATAATTCAGATGGGCAGTTATCCCTTGTGATAGTACATTATTTATTTTTAAGAACACATAATTATTATTTATTAAGAAGTAATTCACAAGAAAACATATCTTTAATCGCCAACCAATGGGGAATTAGACACTTCCCAATGTTTATTTCCCATCTTTAATTCACGTTTGAGGCCAACACATGATCTTTTGGAACTTGAAACCCCTTTAAAAGTAAGCAGGCAAGCATAAGTCGTATAGTCATTGTACCTAATGGAACCCAGTGAAGATTATATTTAAACAAGATCGACCGAAGGTCTTCTCTCATCAGAGACTAATGCCAAGCTAAACACCCAAGACAGAACTATCTATCTAAAGAAATGAAGTACAAGTTCCATTATCCAAATTTTAAGTCAGAGTACAGTTAAAAATTTAATCTTCTTGGCTAGTGCGATATATGTATACAAGTAAAAAATTGAAAAAGCTGAAAGTGGACTGTTACTGTTTGAAAAGGAAAACTACTGTATTGTCATGATCTGTCCTCTGATACGTCTAATCATATAAATGGCTTCATTTGCTACAGTTCAGTATTCAAGTTGGATTTGTCGAACAAATTTAATAGTTCAACATGGTATCGAAATGGGTAAAGTTTAGAAATTCAAGCCTCACCATATGCAGGCATCACCTAGGTAAAAAAATGAATTCGACGTGCACGCAAACTAGTTAAATTTAACTCACTTCTAATAACTTAAATGCGAAAAGAGTTGAATTTAGTTTCTGCCAAAACTTCGTTGACTTTTCATTTAGGGATGCTAGAATTTTCTGTACAAATAGGAAATAGAGATCACTTGTAATAGTTAGAAAACAATCTCAACCACACACAAATACAGAACCAAAGAATTTTTAAATATGTCAGAGAAAAAACAGTCCCGAATTCAAGATACTTTCAGCTTTAGGGTTTCTATAAGGTAATGCTCTAAGCTATAATTTGTAGGCCTTTGATTATTCCTTCTTACAGAACAACTGGGTTGTCTCCTATATGGATGTTCTTAAGCCAGGATTTTGGGCAGTGGGGTGGGGGTAGAGGGTTAAAAGAAATCTGGAAGGACGCACCTTTGCAAAGATTGCCCAGTTGAGTTTCGATCTTATTGAGGAATGATGTTGCTTCATCAAAAGGCCTTGACAGATCTGATTTGTACTTCACCAGTATGTCATAGTATGTTTCCTATAAAGAGAAGAATTTAGATACCTCTCAAACTGAGACAAATTGGAAGATCAAAACCAATGTATGCGCTTGTACAGAAACTGACTAGAGAAGAAAATAGTGTTAAGAGGCAAAATTGAAATAAAGAAAATTTGTCCATTATCTCATGATCTTTCAATTTTCAAGTGTCGTCTTTACTCATTTAAGCTATGTGTGCATTTTTGTGGAAGAGGGAAGGAGGAAGACCATGAAGTCGTCGAGCTCAGGATCAACTCCTAAGCAAACGGAAAGTTCATCTTCCTTACAAAACTCGGATTCTCGTCTGATTTTTTCAAGCAAAGATGCAATTTCTGGGGGTGCTCCCACCTGAAAATTGAAAAATTTTACTCAACAGAAATTGTATGAATTGTACAAGAAAAAAAAATAACGGATTGCTAGTAAAATCTAAAGCCCAGTTACCAGTTTCAAGAATTAATGAATTTTCCCCTACGTTACAAAACCCTATTATTTATTTATTTATTTATTATTATTTTTTATTTATTTATTTATTTTTTTTTTGGTAAAACGTTGCTGCAAACATAACATAAATTAAATTCAAGAAGTATATCAAAAGTTGTGGGCTTCACAGAAAATGTAATTATCAGGAGAAAAGAACTTTTTAAATCAAAATTTAATCTTGATTGAATCTTATTTCTGACCTAATCCTTGTTATTCCAAAAGCTTGAGGAACAGACAAGGCTAAAAGCTGATAAACAATGCAAATTCTATAAATTTTGATCAGACTGAACCTTTTGACAGTCCAGATAAGCATTGAGCAATTTTGTGTATGAAGGATGAGAAGCAATTTTGGCCTTGATCAAACTGGAAGCATGTCCATGATCGTCTTCAGGGTTTCCTTTTTCTGTTTGCGGATTGATAGATGCCACCTCTGTTGCTACAGAACACGGGAAGTTGATATCCTCAGTCGATCCCGATATAGGATAGCAGTGGAGGTCGCCGGAGCAAATCAGGGCATGGTAGTGGTTGTGATACTCCGCCGGAATAATCAGATTCTCCGGTGACATCAAGGCCTTATCCGAGTAATCACTCATGGAATGAAGGCCATACATTTCATCCATATATATAATCTTGCACAATCACAAAACTATATTATAATCAAAAAACCAATTCTTGCTATGGATTAAATGACTAATCATGTAATATTTGACTAACAAAAGTAATTAAACAAAGAGAGCTCCGACTGCTTGTTGTAACAGGATTTCACTGTAACGAAGAAGAAGAAATTACGAATATTTCGATTTTAAAAGATGATAGAGGAGATGGGAGTGGTGTGATTATTTTGGAGAAGAAACAAGAAAGGAGATGCGCTCAAGTGCTGAAGTTGAGTGAGAGGGAGGCCCATTGTCTCCATTATTAATTCATCGACGATTTTCATTATAAATTGTATTATTTAATTCGTCCTCATTTCTTTTGCCTTTAAGCCCTTTTCACTCTCTTTTAAGTTAATACTCTTCATTTTTCAATCTTATCTTTAACAACACATTCTCACAATAAAATATTTTACAAATAAATTGAAATTTTTTTCCAACTTTTAAACCATATATTCTCTAAAAAATCACTATTCAAAACATAAGTTCTCCCCCAAATTTCTCTTAATTATAATGATCATCAACCATGGGCTAAATGTCCAATTACAAATTGAAAGGACAAAAATATAATAAATCGGCACTAATTAAGCCTCTGTTTGACAACCATTATTTGAAAACTCTATTTTTTTTTATTTTTTTTTCAACCATATATTTATACAATAAATTATTCTTCAAGTAAATCAAATATTTTTCTATACGTTTTAACCATAAATTTTCTTAAAAATTATTAATCAAAACATTGTTTTAACCAAATAATGACCATCAAACTGGGGCTAATTATTCTCCAAATTCTAATCTCAGCTAAGTTGGATGGGATTACTTTAATCTAGGGATGTAAAATTGGGATAGACAAGGTGCGTCTTGGTCTAGTGCGGCTTACCACATTGAAAGGAAAAAGGTGTTGGGCAGGTGCCCAATTGCGATTTTGACACTTAGGCTAACATAGTGTCAAAATACCTCGGCTTTGAGTATACTAAACACTTTGTGATTAGTACTTGATAGTAGGCAACTCAAGGTGATTATATTTTTAATTACACATTTTTCTAAAAATTATTATTCAAAACATTGTTTTGGCCAAATAATGACTATCATATAGAGATTAAACATCATCCAAGTTCATCTCAGCTAAGTTGGATGAGATTACTCTTATCTAGGGATGTAAATTTGGGATAGACAAGGTGTGTCTAGGTCCAGTGCAGCTTACCACATCAAAAGGGAAAAGGTGTTGGGCTGGTGCCCAATACGATTTTGACACTTAGGATAACATAGTGTCAAAATACCTCAACTTCGAGTAAATTGAACACTTTGTGATTAGTAAAATCACCTCCACGCCTGCTGGAGATATGAACTGCAGATTCACTAATTGACTGAATCGAGGAAAATTGATGAAGACCCATATGTGGATCTTGTTCGCCATGATGAATAAGTAGAAGCCAATGGTGGTGGTATGCGACCTTAGTTCGTAATGTCGGCATCGAAGTTTGCGACAGAATGTGTGTGGTTCGCTACCTTCGGACTGTTGCAATTTTGTTTCTGATTTACAACTTTGTTTGGTGTTACAAGGTATCAATAGCTGCATATTGAGGTGCTTGGTCGACTTGGAAGGTGGGTTTGGCATGGATGTCGTTGGAAGTGAGGATTCCGTCCATTTTTTAGTGTGTGGCAGCCTATTTTGGGTCGAATTTTCAGTTGAACCATCAGAGTTGTGGTTGGTCGTTGGATGGGTTGTGGAGAAGGAAGTGAAGGCTTTTCAATGGCATAGATATCCAATGATTTGGGCTACGATTGGTTGGTGTTTAAGTGATTCAAATTAGGCCCAAATGTGAGTGTGAGTTTGGCAGTGGTTGTGGTGGTGACGGTGGTTGTGATTGGTGGTGGTGGTTGTGGTTTGATGGTGGTGACGATGGTTGGTTTTGGTTTGATGGTGGTGGTGGTTGTGGTGGCGGCGATGATGAGTTTTCTGATTTTGGGTTGAAGAAGATAAGTTTGATTTTTATTATTATTTTTATTATTTATTTAGTTATTCTTATTTTATAAATGTATTTTTATTGAAAAATATGAAGTTATTATGAGATTGACTAAAATGCCCCTACTTAAAATGGTCAAAATATTCAATTTTTACATATTCAATTTTTACATATTCCAAGTCAGCTAACGGTCAAATGGAATGTTTTCATCCATTTGGACCCTATGTGAATATTTTTGAAAGGTTGGGGATCGTGAGTGGTACAAAATGAATGTTTGGGTAAAGTCTATAAAATTGTGAAAGGTTAGAGACCGCTACTACAATTTTCCCTAGAAATTATTTATTTCCTTCGACCTTAGGCGGAGAAAAAACAACTATGAGCGTATACACTCTGCACTGTCAACATGAGGCTCACATAGAGAATCTTGATTCATATTGAGAGTCGAATAGAGAATTCTTGATCCCTCTGTGATTCGATATGTCTAAAATGGTTGGATTATAAAATGCATTTCTCCATCAAAAGTCGGAATCCCGGCCATATAATTGGGACGTTTTTACGGGTGGACTAACAAAAGATGATGCTAAAATTGTTTTCCAATAGATTTCGTCGAATTGTTCTCGAATATCATAAAATAATTGAACTGATTCTTTTCATCCATTTTTCTTTTTGTTTTCAAAATATTAGTGCTCGTCCTAAACAAATTCCCGAATCATGAATGTCAACAAACTTACTATAGTTAAATCTCTATAAAATAATAGCCTCGGGATATATTAAAAAAACAATAATAATTCTATTAATTTAACAAATATTAAATAATCAAGAAATTAATAATTTATTAATTAATAACATATTAATCATCAAGGCATTCTTATTTCTTTAAATACCTTATTTAGTTCAAGGACTGCAATATGTAATTAAAAAAAAAAACGTGAAATTGTAATGGAATGGATGTTGAGGACCTCTTGAATTACAATGGAGAAAATGACACAACTTCTTGTTGGCTGTTATGGGTAATGATCAAAACGATTAAGTTGAAGTCGATAATTCTACTATGGAGCCCATTTTGCAAAAAATTCTCAAAGTGCTGATGACACTGAACAATTCTTTGTTGTCGTACGAGAAAATCACACCAGAACTTTTTTTTTTTTTTAACGAGGTGTCCCAACTTACGCCAGACTATATCATCGTCCCTGAACTTCCGGCCCCTCAGCAGCTCAGGGAGGTAAATCGCGGGATGTGCCCAAGTTGACCAGGGTTCGAACAGCCTTTATACTCCTGGCCCCAAGGGAGCCTCCTCCATAGTTATTACATCATCAAGCTGCTCCAACCCTTCATCTGGTTATTACAACACTCAGCTGCTCTAACCAGGAATCGAACTCCCCACGCTGGGGTTGCGAGCCCCGCACTGTCCTTCCTTTGCCAACTTGGATGTGCCCCCGGGGGCAAATCACACCAGAACTTCTTTCCATGTTAAGAGAAGTTATCGAAAATTTAAGGTGACATCAATTTTAAAAAGAAATAAATTATGACTGAGTCATATTTTAGGAGGTCCTCATGATCGAACCATAAACACCATTCAAGAAGTTACTAGTTTACATATTATGAAGGATCTAATAGTTTTCGTATTGTATTATCTTACAAATTTAATGAATTATTAATTTATCACGTTAACCCTATATCGAGAACTACCAAAAAAATTATTTCAGAGATTATTAATTTATCGAGGTTATTATGGAGGTTCTATTCTATATTCTAAACTGGACAACTAATTAAGTACTAGATTAAGACAGCAATGCCTATCAAAGAAAATAGACACTTAACCACTACCTAAATTAGCACAGTATTTGTGGTTGGTGGGATATAAATAAATGGCAAAATTAGACGTTAACTTAATGATGTTGACTGAAAATTTTATGCATGCATCTTATCAAACATGTTCGAAGAGAAATAAATAGACAAACTAGCTGTAGCAGCTAAAAGTCGACTCATTCGATATAGACAACTTATACTTAGTCACCATTATAAGATATGCACATTAATGCTTGTATGGTGAAATTCAAGTTGCTCGACTAGTTTTCAGTTTCGTTTTAAACGTTGAAGGAAAAATGTGATTCACAAAATACAACATAGTTGGGTTCATTTTAGTAAAAAATCCTTGACTGCTGACTGAGTTGAATTAAACAATCCCAAGTGGCAACCTCCAATTGGTAGCTTGAACGACACCCGGATTGTGCTTCTCAAAATGGTTTGGAGCTGTTTGATTTAATCAACGACTGTGATCACCTCATGGTTTAATATGGCCTTTGGGCTGGCTACTATACAGTCAGTAAAATAGGAATGCTACAGTAACTCTACGCCTATGATACTGACTATGTAGTTTCTGGTTTTGTACTGTGCGATTCAAGGATGGAGCCAGGAAAAGATGTTAGGATGAGCAAAAATTTAATTTATCAATGTTCATGTTTGGCTCACTAATAATATACTCATAATTAAATTATTCTATATGTTAATACGTTCTTAACAAATATTTTTTTTTTTTACTTAATAAAATAGAAAAAGTTACTTATTTTGGTAATAACATCTATTTCGTGGTCAGATAAGTAAATTTTTAACTTATAAGTGTGAATAAATAATATATAAAAACTTATGTAGATATAAAAATTTAATTAATTTTAAGCATATTCAAACATGTGACTTCTCTTAATGTAAAATAAATCATTTATTTTTCACTTTAATCAATAAAAATATTATTATAAAATTTACTTATTTAATTATAAGTGAACTCTTTAAACTTAGTCAAACATACATGAATTGAAGTACCTAAATTGATAACGAGTTCGTGTGGCATGAATATGCATGAAATAAATATGTAAATTTTGATTTGTCTTTAACAAGTTTGGGTAGTTGGACAATGGATGGGCTAGGACTCCCGTTGGCTTGGTTGGGCTAGACTATTTTTCTTCAATTCTACCTAGTAGTTAGGCAGAATTAGCTTTTATTATTTACATTCCATTGCATATGGGTTGGGGAAAGGCTAGGCTATAGCCCAGGCTTGTCCTCCCCTACATCAGTCTTTGGTACAATTTTAGCATGTTAGGATTTGTTCGTTTAAGTTGAGTTTAGGAAATCTTTCAGATCAGTGATTAAATTTGGATTCTGATTTGGTTTATGTACTCTAATCCTCTTTGGAATGCATGGTTTGTACATAGTGGAACGGGCTGATTCCTGAGCCTTCGGATTAGGCATTTTGGCTAAACTCGATGAATATTTTTGCATGTTCTTATATTCTGTCTTC